GGGGGCCGAAAGTTGGGCCGATTGAGACAACACTGTCGTAGGGGGTCTGGGGCACGCCCCCGCGAAATTTTTGTGTTCTAGACGCCCGAACATAACGTTTGAGGCATTCTGGGCTATCATTTTTTTCTTTTTCTCTCTTTTTTTCTTCTTTTTTTCTTTTTTTTTACCTCCCAAAAGGGGGGGCCGGGGCCGGGCCGGCCCCCCCCTAAATCCGCCCCTGTGTATCTCTGCACACAAATACATATTATGTGACAAATAAATGTGATATTCCCACATTTGGGTGTATTATGACATCATCATACCCATATATCTATATCACACAACTTTGTCACATAACAGAGCTTAACAATGTGTTGATGGATCACATATAATATAATTGGTGATGGTGTTAATGGTGTTATATGTGATGGTAATACATTGTAATGTAGTAACATCATATATTTATTTTCAAATAATAATAATCTCGTTTTTTTACTGTCACTATGGTTGTCAATTTGTTATGTACACTAATATATGTCTACACGTAGAACTGTCAACCATGCTGTTGTTATTCTGTGTCAATCATATCCTCAAACTCCCTATCATATATTTCAAGTAGTTATGATAATGTAATTGTGTGTATTCAGATAATGGACAATGCTTGCACTAATACCATCAACATAGTATTAGTTGATTATTATTGGCAAATCATGTAGCCTCAATTAATGTTTCGCTTTGCAGTTAAATATGAATAATGGCCTTGTCGATTTTATGAGACACCTTTTGTTTGTTTGTATTGTGTCTAGTGTTGCAATTTCCGTACTACCAAGTTCTTTCTTGACTCTCTAAACCTCATGGGATAGACAACTATGATGATGGTGTCAGTGATGATGACAACATTAGCAATGACCATTGTGTCTATGATAATAACTATAATATTGATGATGATGGTATTTTTGGATTATTAATATAATGTCAGTGATAATTAGTGACAGTGATTATGACAATTGGACACACTCATTGACCCTTCAGCTGCAAAAAAAAGTACATAACTTTTTTTTTTATTTCAGTAGTTAAATGATTAAAATATGGCTGAAACATTCTTCTCTCATCCCCATCCTCTTAGTGATGATGTAACACTTACAATGAACCCTTAAATTGTGGTTTTAAAAAGGTTTTAATGAAAAAAATTATAAATTTGCAGAAGTTGACTCCTTACTGGACAAGTGTGAGGAGGAGCGTCAGCTTGCAATCAGTGACAATGCCGACACCTTCATCCCTGAGTGTTCTGATGGTCTTTACAAGCGAGTACAGTGCCACAAAGGATATTGCTTCTGTGTGGATGTCAACACAGGAGTTGAGATTCGAGGAACCAGGTCTGGAAAACGAGGAAAACAACCAAAATGTAATTTGATTTATTTTCAGTTTGCATTATCATAATTAAAATTCAGCATATTCATCCTTTTATAAAAAAAAAAAAAAAAAAATTCAATTCAATTTGGAAAATATGTATTTTCATAATTTATATAATTGTAAATAAGTAAATGCTAATGCATATCAATAAGTTATATTTATAATTAATTTGTGTATATATTGTCTTAAATTTTACTGAAATTTTAAGGCTCGCATACAATTAGTCTTTCAAGCCATGACTTGTGACCTCTTTTTTATTGATGTTTTATTGATATTTTATATGAATAAAGTGAAATGAATGAATGAATGAATATTATATAATAATAAGTTTGTGTATTTATTTGTTTGTTTCTATTAATATAAGCAAATGACACCAACCTGATCTTCATCAAAGCAGCAGAGAATTTTTAAAGATATTAAAAAGAAAGTCAAGTCCACACATTGTGCAACCTCCTTCTCTCCCTGGGGATTTTTGTCCTAGTAATGCATTAACATTCTGTATGCACAAAATTTATAATACCTAAGAATATTTTCTTTTTGTATTGTAGGTGAATTATTTGAAGGTGGAAGTGGTGAAGAGAGGTCACCTTTTTCAACAGCCCTACCAAGACACAGGACAACATATACTCCAAGACCTCCGAAAGCTTTACAAAGCAGGAGAATGACGACTACCAAAATGCCATTGATCATTACAGAAGATTCAACAACAGTCCCTACTAGAAGAAGAACCACTACTACACAAAGAACAACTGCTCAGAGAACAACACAAATAACAACTACACAAACAACCACCACCCAACCGATGCCAGTACCAACGACCATAGAAGAGACCACAACACAGATAAGCTGTGAACAGTCCTTTTATGGCTGCTGTCCAGATGGTATCAATTTTGCTGAAAGGAGTGATCTCCAAGGTTGCCCAGGTATGAATGGTATGAATGTAGGAAAAAATGGCCCAGGAAAAAATGGCCCCGGAAAAAATGGCCCCGGTAAAAATAGCCCCATATTGCAAGTAGGTAAAAATGGCCCCAATGAAAAAATTCAGTAATAGAAATGATATTTTTTTTTTTAAATCTTCAAATATTTAAATACTATAATAAGCAAGAATTGAAATAATAACAAATCCAGTTACACAACAGATGCAAATAATGTACTGAGAGATTATCAGAAAACAACGGCCATTGAACATTTTTTGATAGTTGAAATAAGTTTTAAAAACGTTATTCCACTAACAAAGTAGGGGAATGACATACTGTACTTCAACTACCAAAATATGCAACTCATAGATAACCACAAAATTCACTTTTGTTAAGTATCAAATGAAATAACTTTACATGTTATAAACAGTGCAAATAAACAGTAGTTAAAGCATGTGGATCAATTGTGTGTTTGAATGACAAGCATGTATGGGAAAAGGGAGGCTTACTTTACTTCAACAAACGTTCTGCTTAGAGTTACTTCAAAGAAGTATTTGTTAATCAAATATTGTCTTTAAAGTAAACTGAATAATTAGGAATACATTTATTTAAGCAACTTATTTAATTGCATAGGCCTACTTGGTTTTCATTAGCATTGCAGTCTAACAAGAGTATTTACTGTAAGTCAATTACAGTAACTTTTGCCCAATCAATTTTAAATTGTGGATTTTTTTAGGTACTGAGTCACCACGAATTACTTCTATATCACCTGATCAGAAGGTTCTAAGGGGTACAGCACTAAAACTCACATGTACAGCCACTGGAAAGCCAACACCAACAATCACATGGTATAAAGGTGATGTATCTGTCGAGGACTTACGCAACAGACGTATGGATTTGAAAGCTAATGGTGTTCTAAGCATTTTCCCTACTAAGGAGGATGACAATGCGATTTATACTTGCGTGGCAAACAACGGAATTGGTCGAGAACACTTCCAATCACTGGAAGTTGTTGTACACAGTAAGATATTTTACCTTGTACCTTGTTCAAAAATAAAAATTCTAAATGAGTCTGATTGTGATACTCTATCAAATGTCTTTAAGGTTATAAAGATTGTTTGAACTCCCAACCTTTAATTACTGTACCATACAAATAATACAAGCAAATGATAATAGTAATTATAAGGTTTAAAAAATGCCAGTGATTCCAGTGGTGTATCTACAGGAGGACAAGTTTGTATACGCCCTTTAAAAGAATTTGCATGTGCTCCCCAAATGCCCTCACTGTAAATTTTCTGAGCAGTAGATAACCACTGAGTAACGCAGGCAATGTATATAAAAATGTGATTTGTCTGTTTGGTGTACAGTAATTTAGGTTATTCTTAATCTACTTCATTGTACATATTAAGTAAGCCTATAATATTACTTCATTCATTACTTGGTTCATTCTATTAGGAGAAAAATCCAACCACATGACAGTTACAGGAGTCGTAGGTTCCTCAGTTCGTTTAGAATGCAAGACTGGTTTTGATGATGCTACAGTTGTGTGGACACGTGGAGGTGAACCTCTACCAACCAATGATCCTTACATCATACAGCTTGTGGACAACACACTTGTCCTTCGACGTATAGAGCTAGACGATTCCGGCAGTTACGAATGCATCGGTAGAACGAACATTGGGATCATACAACGGACACGTTATACCCTGGTGGTAGAAGGTATGTTATTCCATTTCTTGTGCTAGTAGATCAAGGGTGGATGATTATATGATGATGATAGAGTGTGATAGAGTCTATACCTTTGCCAATGTAATTTTTTGGTTGTCTGTGACCTGGATTTTGACCTTTTCACCTCAAAATGTAATCACCTCTTCCAATAGACCAATATGTATGATGATCCATTCATATAGTTTTTACGTCATCCTAACAGACAGACAGTGAATACATAAACAATCGGTATCTGTAAGAGTTTGCAACACTTCACTGTTATTTCCCAAATAGTACAGTACTTATTAGATGAACAGGCATGTATAACCCCATAGTAGGTCATTTTGTATTTATATACTATATTTTTTATCTATATATATTATTTGGGCCATTTATTTTCAGCTGATGTTAAAATAATTAGTCCGCCTCGTGATTTAATTCGAACTGTTGGTGATCAGATAACGCTGACCTGCACCAGTACGGGTTCACCTAAGCCTGTGATTCGGTGGACCAAGAATAGCGTAAGGCTCCCTCAACTAGAACGTTATACAATCAAAACCAACGGCAACCTCATCATTACAGGTACTGTCATATTAAGAAAGTATTCATCTTAATTTAATTTTTATCTTTTTATCTGAGTAACTCAAAAATTGAAATTTCTGTTCTCTTTCAGATGCCAAAGAAACAGATGCTGGACTTTATACCTGTACAGCATCCAATAAGAGGAGCTCTCAGAGAAGTTCAGCTCAAGTCAAAATAACAGGTGACTTAGATTTACATCATTAGGATGTGCACTGAGTTTCAGTACAAATAGTAGGACTGTCACTCCTAAAAATGACAATGCCATTTTATTCAATGTTTCACTTTTATTTAAGCATCATCAGGAATCTTATTCCTGGTGATGCTTAATAATTCTAACTATCGCCAAATTAAAGGCACAGCTATGGGTACTAAAATGGCCCCCTCATACGCCAACATATTCATGGACTATTTTAAAAACAAAAACATCTACACATACCTTCTCCAACCTCTATTTTATGGCCGCTATATCGATGATATCTTTACTTGGCCAAATGGACCTGACACACTCAACTCATTCATCTCCCACATCAATAACTCACATCACAGCATCAAGTTCACCACGGAAAACTCTTACTCAGAAATCCCATTTTTAGATGTATTAGTTGGTTTAAAAGATAATGAAGTCACGTCAACAGTTTACACCAAGCCCACAGACAACCACAGATATTATAACTTCAATAGCGCTCATCCCATAAAACTAAAAAAAATATAATATATAGTCAGGCGCTCAGATTAAAACGAATTTGCTCCACCAATACGGAATTCGATAAACACATAAACACTCTCATCCACAAATTAAGACTCAGCAATTTCCCCATGAAACTGATCAAACCATTAATCATTAAGGTCTCGTCTAAATCATGCCAGCAACTTCTTGAATATAAAGCCAAGTCGAATTCTATTCGCATAACCCTTGTCCTCGACTAAAACCCCCAAATCCAACATCTCACCAAAACTGTCACCCAAGATTTTCACATTCTCTCTGACTGCACTTCATCAAATTTAGAAGCACTTTCATAGCATACTGACAACCTCCTAACCTTTATTCACTACTAACTTCATCTAAACTTCCCACTCTCACCCCTAAATTTGGTAATCGGCCTTGTGGTAATTCACGATGCCAAATTTGCAAGCTTCTTATAAACGACGACACCATCAACATCCGCCACTTAACCATACACTCACCATTGCTCACTTGTAACGCCTCAAATGTCATATATCTTATTTGGTGACCCAATGTATAGATACTATATACGTCGGGGAAACTGGTTGCAAATTTAGAATAAGATGCAATAATCATAAAAAATCTATTAGAGACAATACACTAGGCTTTCCTGTAGCTAAGCATTTTAACCTAGCCAACCATTGTATCTCTAACCTTAAGTTCATTTTAGTAAGTACAGGTTTCAATTCCCTCACCGACAGACGTTGCCAATTGAAATGGATCATTAAATTAATTACTGTACTCACAAAAATGGCATAAATAAAGACTTAGGATTTCTCACAGATTATACTTTGTATTAATCAATGCATTCATCTATATACATTTTATTCATTAATTCATCCTTTTTAATACTCTTTAACTTGTTATATTTCATTTTCATTGGCTCAGGCTAGTGATATCATAGGCCTACATTCGGCTGATTAGCCTTTTCATTATCTTCTTTGTTGTTACCACCCTTTATAATCCGCCCTAATTAAACATATCATTTATGATTTATCTAAGTCACTGCTATAATGTTTATTGTTTATCCTCGATTGCTAGTTTGTTAAGCTTTTTTAATCAGACGTGTTATCGCTGAGGATAAACACAGGCATGTTCGAAATAAAAAATTATTTTATGTCTTATGTCAACGTATATAACTCTACTTTGTGCATTCGTAGTCATTTTATATTATCAAGACATACGTGGAACCTACAAACATTATATATGTGTATATATAAATATATATATATATATATATATATCATTTTATATTATCAAGACATACGTGGAACCTACAAACATAATATATGTGTGTGTGTATATATATATATATATATATATATTGCATCAGATGGGAGAACGCTTGGTCAATGTCCCCTGACACCCACACTCGCTGGTGTCTTTGCTGTGATGAATTTTAATGAATTTAAAAATACATTGATGTTGGCTAAGCTATCTTATTATTTTCCACAGGTGGAGTAGTGAATCCTGTTTGTAAAGATAGACCAGAATTTGCAAACTGTAATTTAATTCTTCTAGCAGATCTCTGCTTGCATACTTACTATGCTGGGTATTGCTGTCAAACCTGCACAGACAACAACCAACTTGCCGGACGTTAGCGAATCGTATCTCAAGACAACTAACTTGATGGACGTTAGCCAATCATATTTCAAAGTTATACTTATGAATCTAGACTGCAGAACAAACCATGAACAATGCATTAATGACCACTATTGTTGTGCACTATACAGTAGATTGTTTTTGTTGCTGTTGTGTACCATCATCGCAGTCTGTGTTAATAGGCCTTTAATGTATCAAGCAGGCATTTTAATGGGTATCAGATGGAAATATAGGAAATATACAGGATTTGGTTATTGTTCAAACTAACAATAACCAAATATTATTACTATTATTATTTATATAATTCATATAAATAATTCAGACCTAAATTTATTTTTGAATATGTCTTCTAGTTAAATTGTATATTTCCACATAGAATATACATTCTCATTTTATAAAAGATTTACGTTTTTACTCATTTCTATTTTTAGTTATTTATTTGTAAACAGATTGTAGCTTGTTATCTACAAAATATTCTGAAAGGCTTATAATGGCAGATTCAAAAACGTAACCAATGTATATTGCTGTATACCAATAGAATTAAGTTTGTAATTTAGTATGTGATGAATCATATAAAACTACCTGAAAAAATATTAAGGTACTTAAGCAATATTCTTTTTAAAAAGGAATGAAAAGGAGAAACTCTATTATTTATATAAGATCTACTTTTAATTATGCCATGTAATTTTGGTATATTAATTAGTTTATAATTATGTTAAAATAATGTAGCAATTTGAAAAACATAATTAGTTTTACTTATTTTATTTGATCAGGATGCAGTTTATTATTAAAGAAAAATGTTTTTAATAAATGAGTACTTTTAAAGAAATGTTGTAGCAAGATTGAGGCTGTGAATTACACTACATCAAATATTTTTTAATAAGTTATCATTCTCTCTATACATTTTTTAGACTAAAATGGAACAAGTTTCCCAAATTAATTGCAACTAAAACTTTGGAATTGTGATATACCCCTGGATTACAATGTTTTTTATATACATATTTATATTAATATCTACATATAGCACATGCCATTAACTCAGTGCTTGATAATCCATTGCCCAAGATGGAAAACCTTTTTCTAATTAAATATGGCATTACAGGGCATCTGTATTCTGCCAGTATTACGCATGAAAACACTACATTTACAGGGATGATATATAGCTACCCACCTGTAAGTCCCCACACAAGCTCAAATTTTAGATCTTCACTCCACACTTTCAGGCTGTAACGTTAAAAAGGAAATAGTCATTAAGAAACTGTAGGTAGCGGTAGCTTTTACTACGAAGAAATGGGAATTCTGAACTAAGCAATGCGCATGCGCATTTACCAAATAATTTCCGTTAATTATCTATAAAAACACAGTGAGCATGCGCTTGGAAATGCTAGCCAGCCAGTGAGCATGTGCATTGAGTGACGTTATCGAGCCATGTCGAGCATGCGCAGTTACCAAAAAGACATCTCAGGGACCAAATAACGGCTGCGAAGACATCTCGGGAACCAAATAGCGGCTGCGAAGATGGTATGATTACCAAAAAAACGTCTTGGGAACCAAACAGCGGCTGCGAAGAGGGTATGAAATAGAAACGGGAAAACTATATGTTATGGATGGAAGATAATGAGAACCTGAGCGGGTCGAAAGCCTCTATTATCTTTACAGCCAGTTCATCAGTGGGAATTGTAATTAAATTATCGCAAAAAAAGTATATTAGGCTCTATCGTCGTACCTACGTACGTAGACCTATGCATTGAAAATCCCATTAAAAATAACCACAGAAACTGACGACAACCTAGGGCCTACTACTAGCCAAGTAGTAGAGCCAGGGTATTCCACATTTAATGTCGTAAAATACAATGCCTTACACTGAAGAGGGTTAGGGTTAGGCAAACTATTATCGAGATATTGTACGGTGCCCATGTTTCATCGACCCATAAAAAATAGCCACACACTGGCGGCAGTAGTAGAAAGGCCTAGACAAGCTAGTGGGGTAGGGGAATGAATACAAATAAATAAAATAATATTAATATTATTAATATTAATAAAAATGATGGTAAAAATGCAGTTTGGCTCAGTGGTTTTCGTTGTAGTTGTTGAACTTGTAGTCAGCAGGAGTACAAACAAATACAAACAGTAACAGACCCCATGGATGGCAAAACAAACAAGGGAAAACAACGTAAAAGATTAAGAGATGAGATCAATATTTATTGGGGGAGAGTGATGGTGCAACACAGCAAGAGAATAAATTGATTTGGCGACGACATCCTGAAACATTTGTCCAGCAGTCGACGGACAATAGCTGATGATGAAGCGTCTGAAGGTTATCAACGTGGTCGAACCTTGAGTCTAGGTGACAGCTTGATTAATCTACCATATGGGATTGCAACCCAGACACACCCAGCCGCAGGAAGGATTTAGATGACCCACCCTTTGATAATTCCATATTTGTTTTATTATTTTAACATCAATTTTATTTTTAAAATAGTCTTTAATTCATATACAGTATTATGCATATTGCAGTTAAAATATAGGCCTATCCTTAACAATAAATAAGCATAGGGCTATATTTATTGATATATAGGAAAATACAGTTACAGATTTATTTATTGAAACCACTAACTTAAATACGATAACAAAATTTACACATAGGATAAATTTGGAAGTAGCTGTATACACAAATTTAATAAGCTACAGAAGTTGCAGCTTTTTTTTATAGGAAATATTTTTTGTTAAAAATTATGTTCGTATTATGTGCAGATCGTGCATAACACGAATTTACTACTGCAATGAAGCAACTAAATGTTAGTGTGAATGAACGCAATTTTAAATATGGGGGAAATAAGATTTTGATGAACATTTAAAAGCTCAAAAAGGTATTATTTGTAAGATTAGCCTTGCATTTGCTCCTTTTTTAGCCAGCTAGATTAAGTTTGAAGACCATAAAATAGAAAAAAGTAGGAATTCTGATGATCAAACAGTGGGTCGTCTTATACGCCGGCATACAAAAATCTTCTCAGGTTTCGTCTTATACCCGGGTCGCCTTATACGCTAGTATATCCAGTACCTATAATTAAATAATAACAATAATAAGGAGATGCTTTGTTGAATAAATACACAACTAGACCTACAATATTTATTCTATACAATAATAAAAAGAATGTTTATATACAAGAGTTGCCAGATATATATTATATACAATGAGATAAAGTATATTTTCGGAAACCGCGACTTTTACCTGTGGTAACACGGTACATTAAAATGGTAAAAATAAAGACGTAAATTTCGACAAGCAACTCATGAACAGTAACATCAAGGAGAATGGCCGAGACTGACTGATTTGTTACTTGAAGTCGAGTCATTTAATTTTGTAAAAAAAAGAGAAGTACAATTTGGCTTACAAACGATACAAATTATTGGTCCGGACCTGCCGAAACCGCTTCTGACGGACTTGATAACTATATACTGTAGGATTCTCACTGTTCTATGCGAAGTATTATATTTTTGTTGAATTTTAGACTTTTCACTACAAAATCTTTAAATAACAGGATTATTTACAATGGAAAAATATATTTCATATATTTATGTTATATAAATAATAATTCAAAAGCACTACTTAAATCTACACTCAACACAGAACTTGAGAATTTAAGTATCTGTTTCAAATGGTTCATAATAAATTCTCTCTTAATTGAGTAGAAACAATCTGGTGATTCTTTTGACATCTTGTACATCTGGATTTAGTACTAAAGTACTCAAATTTACACTCAACACAAAATTTTCTCTAAAGCACTTGAGAACTTCAATATCTGCATCAAATGGTTCATTTCAAAGTCTCTCTCTAATCTCGAGTAGAAGAAATCTGGTGCTTCTTTTGACATCCTATACATCTGCATCAAGATGTCACCATCTACATCCTTCATGGCAGACCTACATTCCTCTAGTTTGATCTCTTTCAACCACTTCTCAACATCACTTGATGTCCAGTTGGAGATATCAGCTTTTATCCTTGGGGGTGTGGCCTTTGGAGGCGGAGCTGCAGGTTTGTCTGTTGAATCAATGCCTCTGTTATTTCTAGAACCTTCAATTGGAGCAGCGACAGCCAGGATTTCTATATGCAAAAGAAATTGAAAGACATAGTATTAAACATGTAGTAAAGTTGAAAACAACGAGGTCTGGTTTATAAGGCATATCTTGGCGCTAACGTTGGTCTGATGGGAATCCATGGAGAAGTCAATGTGACAAGGTTTTTTTGACCCAGGAAAAATGCACCAACAGAAAATCTTTCTGAAATTGAAAAGATCCTATGAAATAAATACATAAAATGCATCAAATCATAACTACAGGGACAAATGCATAAATAGTGAATTACAAATGTTTTCAGCAAATACCTTTATGTTGTATTTTTTTCTGTCCTTTCTGCTGTTTTCCTCGATCACCAATCTCACTTACAATACGCTGGAACTCTTTGTCCAACTTGGAGTCGTCAAACAAAGGAAAGTAAATCAAAGTGCCAATAAGAGCTCCGAGCCAACCATCAGGCACATAATTTTCTTCCACCATCAAGGGGATAATTGGCTTATTCTGTTTGTAAGCATATGTTGCTTCTGCAATGGGAAATAATATACATTACATATTGTATTTGTCAATGTTGGCAACATAGTTCCCAAACAATAATCAGAGTGACCCAAGTCTCCCAGAAATTGGGACGGCCTCCCGCACTCCCGCAAGCAAGCAAGAATCTACCGGAAAATAACCCACCTCCCGCAAAATCATATTTGTATGTATTTACTACTTTAATATCACTTGTCTCATGGAAGTCAGTGCCTATTGGTATCGCCATGTGCGGTGAAATAAAATAAAATATTTAAGAAAGCTTATACCAGATTTCCCGTAAAGGGATTTCTTTCAACTCGGAACCCTGTAAAAAATTTTCTATTATATTTCAAAAAGCAATAAAGTAACCTGTTCTACAGCTTGTACTGTCCTTGTACTTCTTAGAAATGCATGACAGAATGACAGAAGCATTCTCAACAGCAGCAGCCATTGCACCCAATATGTCGCCCTCTAAAGAATAAAAATAGATGTTCATTATTTATTACTTCTTTGTCTTGTATATTTTTCAGAAATATATTCATGTACCTAGGCTTGCCTGTTGACTATTAATATTAATAGTCAACATTTTACATGTAAATATTATGCAAGATGGGTGCAAATACAACACAGTTGCACTTACCCATCTGGTCTATATCCATCCAGACATTGTAACCTTCTTTCTGGAGTTTTTCTTTCAACTTAATAATTCTTGGTTGTACATCCCATTGGTAGCTGATCATCACATGGGGGCCTTTCTTGAACGTTGGTTGGATGACAAGTATATTTTCATTTACATTAGGCTGTCCCTCAAATATTTCCCACAATGCACCTGAGCATGCTGCTTGTATTTTGGAAATGCCGGAACTCTTGTTAAGCTTTAAACCTAATGAAGAAAGTATCAAAGTATCATTCTGTATTAGTTTGAAACACATAAAAAATATGTGTATGTAAAATATATTTGTAAATATATTTGTAAATAAATAAATAAAGCTGTTTTATCCATCGTTATTCTCACCATTTATTAGGCTTTCTTCTTCTCTTATTCTCTCACGATTTTGCTCCATGAAAGCTAATTTCCAAATAAGCATTGCAGAAAGAACAAGGATTGATTTTGTGCGCTTTTTAAGTGCTCTATCCAACTGAGCAAGACCATTGTATTCCACAATTTTCAATTTGTTCTCATCATTAAGAGCTAGATTATTCAAAGAGAGAAGTATTTCTGAAGTGCTGTACCCTCGTCCCTTTCCTCCAGTCAAGGATGTGGTGAGCAGATCAATGATGAATCGAACGGCAACACCGGTATTCTCCAGTAAGCTTACCTCTTCGTCGGTAATGAGAAACGAGAGGATCATAAAGCAATTGGCTTTTAAGATCAGGAATTTAACCGCTGTGTAGTCCAGTAGAAGCTTTACGGCATTATTGTCCCGCAAGAGTTGAATATTGTCAGGATAAAGTCGCACCATATTGTTTAATATCCCTAGACTTCCCTTCACATGTATAATATTAGGGTTTGTTAGGGTTTCTGGCAGCAATTCTTTTTGCTTGAGGCTTGAGAGAAGTAATGGGACCACACCGACCTTTCCAAGCTCGGCGCATATTTCTATTGAAGCATCAGAATAATTCCAAGTAAGAGTTTTCATAGCTTTAAAAACCTTCACTTCTTGTTTATTTTCTGGATCAAATAAATCTAATTTATTTAACTCAATCCAGAATTTAATAAATAAGGTGGGAAATCCAATGTTGCATAAGTGTTCCCCGAGCAATGGACGATATGTAGTCAATTTAGTATTGACATAACTTTTTTTGAGTATTTCCATACTGCTTAAAACTTGTTCATTTTTATAGTCTTCTGTGCTTTTTAGAAAATTCATTGCTTCAGTTAGTTCATCTTTGCATCCATCTAGTGCTTCTTGGAATTCTGGTTTCACCTGTACATCTTGAGTCCGTATCGTGAGCTCATACAACTTCACATTGTTAAAATCTTGTTTCTCTCCAGAATTTTCCTCTTCAGTCTGAACAGCATTCTCCCCATTTTCGTTCTCATTTACTTCGTTTCTCTCCTTTATGATAAAATCTGCATCATATTGTTGTTTTTCATCTGCCATATTTTTATTTTTTATAATAATATTGCTCTGTGTATTTATTTGATTTTTCTGCTGAAGGCTGGTTGCACACCCCATACCAACAATCAACTGAAAATATAAGAAATGACCATAAACATCATGTTGTGAATAAGCGTCCCGCATCATAGCATGAAAACTACACTGTATAAACAGGGGCCTGTAGCACAATGGGATCTGATGGGAGAATAATTGGATGGGCCAGGGGAGCCCATACCCCACAGAGGTTATAGAGTGTGCAAGGGATAAGAAATAACAGAAATTACATAAACTGTGTTGAGCTGTCCAATGGGGTGGGGGGAGGTGGTGGGAGAGGAGTATTGCAAAGAAATAGAAAGCTTTAATTTAACGCCTGGGCCTCCTGGGCTTATATGTATTAGCGCACCTGCCCTCTTAAATCAATGGTCATATTCGACTGGTCGTTCTTCGTTAAATAAGCCCTATGTATATCCCCTTTATGCCATTTGACATTTTTTATACCTCCGTGCTTAGCTTGGAGCTGCCTGTGCTTACTATTGTAATCTTAGTTAGGCCTACACACATGAGTTGCTTTGGCTTAAGCTAACTAAGGCCAGGCTTGTCGCTCTTACCAATGAATATAAAAATTTGTTTCTGCAAAACTTATCTAACTAAATCATCTCTGTGCCTGTCATTTAAGTCGCCTACATTGCTAAATTTAAGACAAATTCATGTGAATCCCCAGCGAGCAACAGACGAGTCTTATTATTGTTTATAGTTACCAATACAACGATACATGAACCGCGCCTCCAAGCAGTGAGTAATGAGTGTTACAATTCAGTGGTGCGTAACCAACAAAAATAAGCTAAATCCTTGACATGTTACAGTATTTAGAAATTCATAACACCTCAACGTCGTATCATATCATTCTTAAAAGACTATTAGACACCTATATATGATTGGAAAAAATTAAAAACCTGAAAAATTATTAAAAAAATTATTGACCTTCAATAAAGACGATTGAAGCAACTCAATCGAAACCGTTCGAGACGTTCTCAACCAACAACAGTTCTTTTCAGTATGCGTGGTGCACCGCAAGTATACATATATATATTATGACTTCTTGTTAAAAACATGAATGAATCAGGGGTGGGGGAGGGGATGAGAGAGGCTTCCTCCCCCTGGTCGGGGAAGCCCAGCCCCCCCTACCCACATTCCGTCAGGGAATAAAAAAAAAAAACTTAACAAAAATATTTTTACATGTTTTGACCTCAGTGTACTGTTTGTGTTAACATTTCATTACAATAATAACAAAAACAACAACAACAACAACAACAACAACAACAACAAAAACGACAACGACAACGACAACGACAACGACAACGACAACGACG